TGACTCGAGGCAATAACAACTCAATTTGCATTTTCATGTACGTGCTCGACTGCACAATTGGCTGTTTTATGACGAACTGCTGTATCCGAGGCCAACATGAAGGTTTTGTAGCAGTTTAAGGTGATTATGAGCTGTTATCCCAATATTTGGGACAAATATACTGTACTTATGGTACGTGTAAATGGTTTAATTTGACACTACTCTCTAAGATTGTTATTTATATTCAAGGTCAGGCATAGGGCATTGTTATTGAAATGCACGTGCCGAAAGCCACCAGATCTTCAGTGACCGGTTGATATTATATATATAAGTAACAGTACTGAGTATCTTTAATGCTAGTGCATGCATGGTTACCATGATCATGAGGTTAAAAACCCGTTTATGAATGTGTCGATTTGCCAAAGTACAAAGTGTGAGTTGGTTGGTCGTTGTTAAACAAAAAGCTACACAATGGCATGTCTGTGTTCTGTACACCACAGGTATCGTAGTCCGATTTTTTAGCGTGGTAAGCCTATAGACTTACCACTGAGAGGAATGTGTTTGTGCTTGTACCTAGTATGCTAAATTTAATGTTTGTAGCTGATCATTTAGTGAGGATAATAAAGGAATAATTATATTTTCGAATATCTAAGTGTGTAATGACCATTTACCATACCACGAATCCCAGACGTAGACCATGACTGTCCAACTTCAAACCAGTGATAGTTAATAATCTAGAATCCTAGCTTATGTAATCCTGTTCGAAAGCTGGAATATACCTGTTCTAGAGCTGGCCAGGTGGTTAGGGAGCTCGAGTCGCAATCTGCGGGTTCGAATCCCCATTCCACCAAACATGCTCGCCCTTTCAGCCGTGGGGTCAATCCCACTATTCGTTGGTAAAAGAATAGCCCAAGAGTTGGCGGTGGGTGGTGATGACTAGTTGTCTTCCCTCTAGTCTTACACTGCTAGATTAGGTACGGCTAGCGAAGATAGCCCTCGTGTAGCTTTGAGCGAAATTCCAAACAAACAAACAAACTGTTCTAGAGATGTCGCATATTGTGATAGAATGGACGAGATACGAGTAATATTCGAATACTATTAATACTATGCTATTTCTAAAAATATAAAATCAAGAATTTTTATTTTATTTTAGAAACTTAAATTTTAACTATGGCTAAAGGATCCTCGCAATGCTCAGAGGGTGGATACGGCTTGTGGGCTGCCATTTGAACAGCCATTGACATACAGTAGCCAATTATTTATAAATTTTACATTTGTTGTGGTAAATAATGACGTTGTAGATTTGTAATTGTAATGACACTAATGATTTTCAAACGAGACCCAAAACTCGAGTGTTTACGAATAGTTCACTGTTCTTCTCGTTTGAAAATCATTACAACTTTTGTATGTGATCCTGTGTGCTAACTTGTTAATCAGAATCTAATAACATTAAATCAACCTTAGTTTGCACCATTCATAAAACTCATAGTTTAGTTCATTTGTTTAGTAAAACATCACATTATAGCACACACACACTAATTGAAACAATTTTTGTGTTTCTATGCAAAGTCGACATTGAAATCGAATGCGAGTCGTCGTTCTCAATGCTTGTGATGAAATAAAGTATGGTAATAGGCTAACAGTAGTCCGGAATTTATTATATAGGGCTAATACCGGATCTAGAAAGCCTGTTATGAATATTCATATGTGTGGATATAGATAGAGGGGAAGTTATGAAGGCTTAACATAGGCAGCCAGCGTTTTATTCTCCATATTTATGTAATATAAGGAACATTTACATACGGATACAACATATTTTGTAGTCTCCCCATACGTTCGTGTTTGATCAGTTTTTCAGACAGATCGGATTGCAACAATGCAAGAAAAAATCCGGCAGGCGCAGAAGAAAGAGAACATAAAATAAGTGGTATTTCATGGTCACCCTCCAGCTTCCCCGTGGAATTACATAGAAGGCCAAAAATGTAGGGAAAAAAAATTGCGTGTTTAAAGTGACAGGTCGGTATATTTATGTTAAAAAGGAGCCACAAATTGATAAAGTATGGTGTGACTATTATTTTTGGGGCTCTACTCTTGTTGGATGAAAATTGAAAAAGGTTAAGGCTATAGGTTTAAGAAATTTTACAAATAAGCCTTTGTTTCTTTGTTTAATTAAGAAAGGACTTGTATCGCCGAAGTTCCTCGGAAAGAATTTATACCGGAAATTAACAAACGAGGAGATACGTAACAATATTTACGACCGCTAAGCGTTTTTCACCACACTTCATATATATGAAAGATCTAGCTGTTGGTTTTAACATGAAAAAACTGGCGAAAGCCACATGAGTCACTTAATTCTTTGGCTTCACTGGGATGGAGGAACGGGGTATTATGCCATTCATTATGTTGGTCCACTGAATACTGGCTTAACATTTTATAGAAATTCATCCCTACTGTTCAGTTTCTTCATATTAGTGTAACCATTGTCTATATGTTATCTAAGTCGTAAGTAATCCGAGTCATAGATAACAACCCCCTGAAAGTTTCAGAGCAAACAGAACTTTTGAAAGTAGACGGTAAGGAAGTAGCAAGAGAAGAAAAACTGAATCGTCTGTTAAGTTCGTAAAAAATTAAGAGTTAATAAAGTGAAGGGTTTTAAAATTTCCATGAGGCACACCCAAAAAACTGCGAAAAGTAGGCACTAAGAGAGTAGCAAAGGGGAAATATGAAATGGTTGTCCAATCTGTATAAATGTGAGAATGAATGAATTAAGAGGGTTTTACAATCATCCTGGGAAATACCTAAGAACACCTGAAAGCTCCGTGGTCTGGAAATTGGATTTTTTTTTCCACAGACAGACAAACGTACAGAAACATAGCTCAGATATGTGGACATACTGAACAAATGAAACTTTTCGAAATAGTACGAAGAGAAGAGCATAAGCTTTGTTGGAATTTATAATATTTTTTAGGTTAATTTAAAAGGGTATATTTTCTGTTAATATTAGTAAAAATATCCAAATGTATGCATAGTTATGGCAGTACCTGAAGAAATATGTAACTCAGTCTGTGATTATTGTATTCTGGCTTAAAACATAATCACCTCGTCCTGTACTTTTGGGTAGTCCTGATTTTTTTTTTTTTTATAAATGATCATTACTTTTTTGTTTACTTTTCGATGTCATAGCTCGTGAGACATCAATCTGTACACGTGTATTATAATGATTTGTCCGTTGTTCACTGAGTGATTCAACTTCAATTGTAGGTTGCAACAGCGTGGCTGCGTGACAACGAGCACGTGCGTTATGATGCCAGAGAAAAGTAAATTACCTTGTTAATGTTGCCATGGTACTAAACTAGCTTCATGGGGTGTGAAAATTCATCAAGTTAAAAAGCCCCTATTGATCTACGGTAGTTCCCTAATTTCCAAAATGCTATCATAGTCTTGGAAACACAAGACGTCTCACAATTTTAAAAACCTGTATAATTTTTATGATGGTTTGACTTTACTAATTAAAAACGTTGAATAACATACTGTTGCAACGTTGTTCTTTCGTTGGCAAGTTCTTTTAAATTATCTGGTTGAAATAATTCAAAGTCCAGCCCACGCAACGATGACGTATTACTATTAGTTTATTTTGTCCTTGCGTTTGTACAAGTTTGAACACTATTTTAACTTGTACGCCACGCTAAATGTGCAAAACTGATGTAAGAATATACTTGTATAAAGTAATCCAATATGCGCGATTACTAACACACATCCAAATACTTCACTAAAAAAACAAAACTTGGACCTCAAAGAAAATCCCCCGACTGATTTACTCTCCCAGCTAAGTCTACGTTATCAAAATTTTCTATCTTAACGTCATCATCGCCATCCTTAGCTCTATCTAGCAAACAAACAAATTACAACATTAAAAATACAGTTTACGGTAATATATACATTAACAAATATGAGTGTTTTTGTTCATAAATAGAGGTTACAAATATTAAACTAACGAGACTCCTTTTGTATTATTGCTTGCAGGTGTCAAATACTCCTGATGAAATAGGACTGAAACAAAATGTTATAATCTAAAGAGACCCAGTAATCTTTTACTGCCAACTTTAAAAAAGTGTAATGCAAATGGTTAAAGAAAAGTGAACAGTTTTGGAGAACTTTATCCGGCGACTGTTTTTTTAAACACAATAAGCAATATATTTGTACTGCAAATAATTAATTATTTAGATTCAAGCAGCTCTTAAAAACTAATGGTAGTATTCTTAACAAAGTTAAGAACATAGGGTTACTTTTGAGCGCATAACCTAGTGGTCAGCATTTTTGAACTGTGAATCAGTGAGTTCATGGTTCGTTGTTGCCAAAAAAACGCGCTCCGCACTTTGGGGCCGTTGGTGAGCTATGAGAGTGACGGTCAAATTCCACTATCCGGTCAGTTTCCCTTCTAGCCTATCAAATTAGGGGGCGGCTAAGCACAGATAGACCTTGATGTAGCTTCGGGTGAAAATTCTGAAACAAGCAAACAAACTGAGAGATTAATTTGTATGTGATTATCTGTTTGACCCACATTCTCCAACTTCCAGTTTTCAAGAACTGGTTTTAGGTTAGAAAATGGAGTAACGTTAGAAATATAACGGTCCAATCATAAAGTGAAACATGCAAGGCATTGTTTAATTTATCACTGGAAATAATTGTTTTGGTATACTTTAATAAAACGTAAATATCTAAGTAGGGTAACTTTACGTAAAAAAAAAGGGGAGGGGAAGCATCAAACAACTTAAATCTATTGTTTATCTAAACGGCCTAAAATATAATTTATTGTTTTAACACATACACTCAAATGTGTACCTTTTTCGCTTCGTTTCCCAGAAGGCCTTGAGGGATTCTGTGGTCCTTTTTATTTTCGTTTGTTTCTGTGTTATGCTACAGCAAATAAATAATTTTTCAGTTTAACATTCACTGTCGCTAGTATTCAAACAATGAACATTGTATTACGAAAAACGCCGTGATAACCAGAGTAACAAAAACTGCCATTTAAGTTGACTAGGTAACAGGGTGGATGAGGGGATAATGGTGTTACAGGAGGTTAAGTATGTTAATCGAGAAATTGCTAAATGAGTTTCGGGCAGAGGGGGCGGGTGTATATGTTAAAACCCTATTTCCAGCAATATTTTCATCTTATTAAACCAGAACGGCAGTTGTGATAACAATTAACGACCTTTTACGTTATTCCAAAAAAGTCCGCATTTGTCTGTGGAATTTCGTTTGTTTAAAAACAGACCAACGACAATAACCAAAATATTCGAGTTATTTTGTTCAATATCTTTGTGAAGTATCTTGGTAGAGAAGGCTACCAGTTTTAGTTCGATATGTAAAATTTGCGTCTCGAGTATCGTTTTTTTTTTTTATTTAACTGCGCATGTGTATATATCTATCTATCTGTAATTGGTTTTAGCCGCGAGCAGTACACAACTTAAGATTTCCAGGAACCAGGTGATGTAGACTACACTACATTATGTTTTAATACGACTACTTGAATTCCTAAGTGCTGCCATATGCTGCTTCAACACACGAGAAGTGTGTACAGGTTGTTGTGTTGGACAGTTTGGAAGATACCCTCTATTTCATGTATCCATGTTGCGTCAACTTTCGTACACAATGCTTCTATAGTTTGTGTAATGGTGTTTGTCTTTCTCGCCTCGAAAGTTAATGAAGCAGGTAAGGCAAGTTTTTAGCCTCGATCCCAGTATCAACGTGCGTGGTGTAGGTTTGAACCACAATAATTATATGTATTGAAGATTGTACGTATGTAAAATATTATTCAGATTTTAATGCCACATGTTTGACTTGAAGTTGTGACTATTTTTAATTTTTGGATCGTGTGTTTAATTTTGATACGTAGCTTTCATTTCAAAATATTTAACACCATTTCAATTGCAATGAATTTATCACTAAGCCTTTTCTTGCGCCACTAAATTTTCTAAAAACTGATTTTTCTTTCCCCTACATTTTGTCCTCACAAATATAAAACTTGAAACGGTTATTTTTCAGCTGTGTAAAATGTTGTAGAGGTTTAAAAAAAGGAGAGGTTAAACTAGTTTTTATAGCGGTTGACAGTCCAGGCCAAGTAGGCACCATAGGTGTGAAAAGGTCCAAGTAAGAAGTGGGTTAACGTCGTATTTTCTCTAAATGAGGAGAGGGCAAATGTCGTATATTTTCTGAGTGAAAAGTGGGTAAACGTCGTATTTTATCCTCGACTATCCCAATGTTAAGTTACTTGTGAATCTGAATAACAATGTATTAGTTGGAAAAACTTTGAAAAATTGTGATCTAACTGTACACATATCGTCACATAATGAAAAGTATATCTGATAGAGCAGAATTTTTTATAATCTTGTTCATTAAAAATTGTTAATGGAAAAAAGATCATATGCTTATGTGTCATACTTGAGTTTTTATTTTGATTTTGGCAGTACGTTTTCAGTATCTCGTCATCGCATGAAAGCCTTGATTTGTCAGGATGTTATAAAGCGTTAAGGAACGCTACAGTACTGTGAAATATAAATAGTATTTATATATAAAACAAAAATGTCTGTCTGTGTGTTCGACTTTTACGCCTACAGTTTTTGAACCGATCTCAACAGAATTTGTTATTCAGGGATCCCTCAATTAATGCGCATTCGATTAATGTGTTTTCGTTTAGTGCGCTTAATTTTTTTTTATAACCAATATTCGATTAGTGCG